GTGTGTGTGTGTGTGTGTGTGCGCGCGCACACTCGTGCTAAGGGATTGGGACACAAATCATCCTCAAGAGGGTGCTGGTGGACCCATAGGACAAAACAAAACAGACCATTCAGATCATTGTCTCCTGGACGGGCCACTGGCCCTTCAGCTTTACAGCAAAGAGAAGAAACATTTGCCAACAATCATGAAAATTTGCGGCAAGACAATATTCTCTGAACTTAAGAGGTAGTGAGGGCTGTGGAAAGAACACAGGTCTGCAAGTCAGACCCATCTGAGAAATACTGATTGATTGTGACTGTGGACAAATCATAACCCCTTCTGAAGCCTCAGCTTTGACTCCTGTGGAATGGATCTACCTGGTGGAGTCACTATAAGCACCTCACTAAGTGAATGGAGTGAAGCGCCCAGCACACTGCATGGCACCCAGCAGGTGCTCGCTAAATGGCAGACATTAAAAAGAGACGACCCGGTTTTCAAGGTATTGGTTAGAAAGGTACCTAAAGAATTAAAAATGTCTGAAAGCAAAATATCAGAATGGCAATATTTGTGCCTCCTCCCAGTTTTGGTCTCAAGCTACCTTAGCTGAGAACACTGATAAGACAAAGGGAAGGGCTCGGGAAGCAGAGGGCACATCCTGAGGCCTGTCACAAAGCCACTGTGTGAACAGGAAGACAGCATCTTTGGAAAGGGCGAGGTATATGTGAGGGGCTAGTTTCAGGGCAGGGGCTGGCTCCCCAGTAGCAAGGGCCCACTTACTATGGTCATATCCCGGCGAGGAGGGGGTCTCTGCCTCATCTTGGGTGATCCTATAAAGAGACAAGATCTTATTTTACACATGTGCAGAATTCGAGATAAAACTCCTGAGGTGGACACCAGGAAAGATCTATTCCGTCCTGCACAAGATAAGGCACAATACTCCGCACAGGCGTTTGTGAGCTGCTGTGACCCTTCCCATGAGAAGGGCTGGATTTAGAAGGGGCTGTTCCGATGTGGCTCAGGACAGCCGCGTGCTGGAGCACTGGAAAGCTTCATAGGAAGGGCAAAAGTGCAGGCTTCAGAATCATGCAAAGGCGGGCTGCAACACATTCTATGACTCTTTGAGCCACGAGGCCCTCATCTGCAGGAGGGGAATGACACCTGCCTCCCAGGGAGTGGTGGAGATGAAAATAAACAATACATGTGAGGCTCTTGGCACAGGGAAGTATGCCATAAATGTTACCACCCTTGGATCTGTGCTCTAGAACAAACCTAACTGAAACAACTTATAAACTTCAGGAATTTTTACTCTGGAGTTGTGCTGACCTCCTCTGGGCCTCAGGGTCAGGAGGATGACTTTGCAGTGGTCCAAGGCTCCTGGCTAAAGGCAGAATATTGAGCCCAGCTGGAGTGGCTCAGGGGTTGGAGCATTGACCAGGGGTTGAGCACTGACCTATGACGCAGGAGATCGCAGTTTGATTCCTAGTCAGGGCACATGCCCGGGTTGCAGGCTTGATCCCCAGTAGGGGTCGTGCAGAAGGCAGCCGACCAATGACTCTCTCATCACTGATGTTTCTCTCTCTCTCTCTCTCCCCCTCTCCCTTCTTCTCTCTGAAATCAATAACGACATATTTAAAAAAAAAAAAAAAAAAAGGCAGAATTTTGAGAAAGAAACCCTATGTGTTGCCTGAGTCTAACACAGGGGGGTAGTTTGGCAGTGGGGGTGTGAAGATGACTGCTAATCTCTTAAATAACCACTTCTCCTGTCTTCTATTAGAATAAATAGCAACAGTTTTAGTTATATAAAGACTGCATTTCCTAGACTCCCTTGCAGCTAGGTATTGCCATGTGACTAGTTCTGGCCAATAGGATGTGAGACAGTGGGAATAGTGTAGCTTCTGAGTGGAGCCAGCCGCTTCTCTCTGCCTCCTTTTCATTGGCTGGACTAATGGTGACCATCCTAGACTAGGTAAGGACAACACACAACAGATGCAGCACAACAAGATTCTTGACTGCATGCAGTTGCCAAAGCAACCCTGGACATATATCTGAACTCTTTTGTAAGAAATAAACATCTACGTTATTTGAGCCACTGCTATTGGGTGCATGCATGCGGCGGGCAGTGGGTGTCTTTGTTTGAGCATCTGAACCTATGTCAACACAGGGTTTCAGATTTTCATTTGCTCCTCTCTAAGTTAATGGGGAATCCTCCTGTGCTCTTGGCCATCACAGACTAGAATCACAGAAACTAGGTGCTGGACCGAACCCCTGCCATGGCTTGTCAGTGCTTTCTCAGAGCAGTTAAGTAGAGAATGTGAGGCTCAAGAAGTTCGCGGACTAAAAGAGCCACTATAACCTGGAGAAGGAGATGCCCAGCCATGAACAAGTGACTTGATCCCTACAGCTAATAGGAAGTCCCTTCCAAACAGACAGATTCCTTCTGCTCTGAACAACCAGAACAGGGCTGTGCGCTTGAGGCTGGAGTCCTGGGGATGCAGTAGACAGTAATGAACCCTACTCTCAGGTGTGTTGGGAATATTAAATGGTAAAATATATATGGGGAGGGTTCAAAAAGCAAGATGGATGAAGAAATGTTGAGTAAACTCAACTTAAGAGTCAATTTTTTCTTCCTCTGGCTCAGAAATGAGGCCATGCAGAGAGAGCACTGGTGCTGGAGTCAGAAAGGCCTGGATTCAAGTCCTGGCCCCACCATTTTACTAGCTGGGTGGCCTTGGACAAACCACTTAATTTCTCTGACTTCTAATCTGTAAAACAAAAGTAGTAAGTCCCTCAAAGGTTGTTATGCAGAGTCAGTGAGACTAATGATGAGATTCCGGGCACACAGCAGGGGCTTGAGAAACAGCGGGTATCTCGATCATCATGAAACATGGAAAAACAGGGTCTGGAGAAGGAAAGCAGTGTCTCTCCCCGCAGGTCCTGCAACTTGCTGGCTGAATGGCATGGAGCAAGTTACCCGGGGTTTCTGAGCCTCTGCTCTCTTATCTACAGGACAAGGGGCAGAGTATGAAGAACACCGAGCACAGAGCCTCGCACACCAGTTCCCCAGCCTCCCCAGCCACCGGGGCTCAGGGGGGTTCCACTCACTCTGCTTGATGTCAACATCCGGCACTGGGCGGCCTTCAAAGCGGCCATCCCTCTGGTTGCCGAGGAGCTCCTTCTCTCTGCCCACCGAGTTCTGTGGCCGGGAAACTCCATCCAGGTCAAGGACGCCCGCGTGGGCAGATGAGCCGGGGCCCAGCTTGGGGGGTAAGGGCTCCCCGCTGCTCTTCTTTAGGTACGAGGCTGGGGCCCAGCCCTCTTTGCCCTGGTACCTGGGAGGGGGAGGAAGAATGCTGGTCAAGCTGTTCTGCCAGGCCCATGGGAATAAGCCATACTCCTACTGTGAATCCCACCTCGGGGCCCAGATGGCAGGAACAATGGGTCACAGTGTCCAGGGCCAGAGGCTGGCACACTGCTTGCTGCCTCGTGATGAAGCCTAAGCCCTCAGAGCTCGGCAGTCAAGGCCTTTCCAACCCAGCCTCTGCTTGCCTCCCAGCCTCATCTCTCACAATAAGCCCCATGTCCCACTACGTTTGCAGTCTCCCAAACGCACCACCGTCTTTCAACCCCAGGCCCCTGCTCTTGGAGCCCCTCTGCCTGCAAAGTTCCTTCCCCGCTCCTCCCTGCTTCTGTCCCTCAGCTCTGCTTAATACCATTTCCTCTCTCAAGCCTTTCCCGAGCCTCATGGAGAATGAAGCCCTCCCTCCACAGTGTCCCGTCACCTGCACATACCACAATCCCAAAACCTGTAACATAACTACCCGTGGCCTGTCTCCCAGTTAGAATGCGAGCTCTGGGAAGGGCCATGGCTGTTCCACCTCGGTGTCAAAGGTCTCAGTGCCAGTGAGGTGAATACGTAAAAGGACAAGTGGACAAACTGCAAATGAGCTTGGCAAGGGGGAGTAGCCTCTGCTATAGTTGCTGTCCCCTTACAGCCATCACTGCGATGACAATAATAACAATAATGATAACTGGTACTTAGAGGGCATTTAATGTTCTGTTCTATGTACTTTAGAGCTATTGATGGATCTCATCCACCCAGTGCTGGGAGGTGGCAGACATGCACTCAGACCCAGGTGGCTGGCACCTGTCTGCTCCTAACTTCCATGCTCTGCCGCCTCTTCCCAGCAGCTCCAGCTCTGGGCACAGGGCGGGTGGAGCTCTGTTCACGTTGGTTAAATGTGCACTCAGATGGGAATGAAGTAAGTGGGGGCTGGTTCCTGGTCTTACCAAGGGTCACTGAACTGCAGGGGATTCAGTGAGTACAATGATCACTTAATTCTCTGAATGGAACTCAGTTTAATGGCACAACCCAAGGGGTCGGTCTGGACCATGCCTGTGAGAGCCAACTGTGACCATCTCTTCTGAACATCATGCTTAGTGACATTACACTGGGCACTTGAACTTGACTATGGTGGGAGTATTTATACCACACAAATCAAGAGCATTTTTCCCTTGGAGAGCTGGTTGTTAAACATCTACCTGCACCCCACTGGTCAGGCCTGAAAAACAGGTGCCCACACCTATGGGGGAGTTAAACACACCTAACTGACCGGCAATGATGTATAACAGGGTCAAGTATCTTGTCAAGAATTGCTTTAAGAACTAAATAGCACTGTACTTCAATGAAAAAAGTTTCTTTATTACTGAAAACAAATTTATACGGAGATAGAAACCTGCAGAGTTTGGTGTCTACCAATCTTAAAATACCTACCCTCAGAGAGGAATTAAACCTCGTCTGAGTTGGAAAATGTCACGCCACATACAATTCTCACCCTCAGTATGAGAAAGCTCATTTGGGGGCACAAAGCAAGCAGAGAGCCAACAATGTAGTGGTGAGTGAACTCTGGGGTGAGAAAGATGTGGGTTCAAATCCTGACTCAGATGACTAGAGCCCATGCTGACATCAAGCTGCAGCCTCAGGAGGGCCCCGGAGCCAATTAAGCCATTCCCAAATTCCAGAGCCACCAAGTTTTGGGATAATTTGTTATGCAGCAAGATAGCATGTATACTCCAGATGTTACGCACCACTGCCATTACTCCTCCAGAACTCAGTTTTGAGGTTCCCCTCCCTCAGGGAGCCTTCCTGCCCCCAGGCCCAGAAGCCCGTTCTGTGCTCCACGCCCCGAGCATCTCTCCCACACACCGTGTGCCTCCCTGGCCTGTGGCTGTGTGCGAGTCTATCCCCTGCGCCTACTGGTGTGAATCACTGTCCTCCTTGCTGTCGACTCCCCAACTCCCAGAACAGTGCTTGGCCTGGAACAGATTCTTGGTGTGTGTTTGTTGAATGAATAAAGTGCCACATGCTCAGCCCCACGTGAGTAACCCTAATGTCCTGCCTCATGTCATGGCACAGATGCCGGGTCACAGGGACCTCAGGTCTCCCCTCTGGCCCTAATTTCCTGTGGTCACAGCCTGGCTACTAGGGTGAGCAATGACTCATTACTAAACCTGGGAAAGTACCAGAGACCAACACAGTACCTGCCTATGGGGTTCTGATCTCATCACACAAGTGAAGGAGCTGTGAGAAAGTGTTTGAAATGCCTTCACTCCTGGGCTCTGAGAGACTAGGGCAAATGATCGATTCTGGGATGAGTTTCAGTCTGTGTGGGGTTATGCACTGTACTGGTCTCAGAGCGGGGCTGAAATGGGAAATCCCACCCGTGGCAGCTCAGCCCCCAGTTACTTATTAAGAGAAACATCTGGAGGTGGAGACCAGTCTTGCTCAACAGGGTTACTGCGATCTGTGGTTCATTGTGTTTGGAGAAGGTTTTGCTTATTATGGATTTTCAGAGAAGGATCTGAGTAGGGAGGGAAGCCAAACAGCACAGAGGAGAAGCATGCTTTTATGGCTCAGGCCAAAACCTCACCCCATCTGCGATGGCTTACAGACCTCTGTGCAGCTGGAGCGCACGTGACCTGAAACCCACCCAGCTGCACTGGGTACCTGATCTTCCACCAGCCTTCCAGGTTTTTCTGAATGACCTCCACCATGGCCCCTCTCTCCAGGTTCATTTCATCCTGGTCACGAGCTGTGTACGGGTAGATGACTGTGTACTTCTCCTCTGTGGGGACAAAGGGGTGATGGGGTAAGTCAAGGACACTGAGGGTCCTGGGGCACTGATGGCCAAGGCTGTGATCCGTGAGATGTCCTTGCCCATCAGAGGGAAAGATTTCCTCCAGGGGTTTCTGTGCATCCCCAGGCCCTCACTTAGCCCTGCATAACCCTGTGCAAGCAGCACCAGGACACGGGACCATGGGCAGGTCCAAATCCCTCAGCGTCACACATTCCCCTTACCTTCTTCAAATCTGTGCTTCAAGGTCACCTTCCATGACCTCGTTTTATGCAATATTCAGACCCACTGCAACCTCATCCCCTTTACCCAGGTTGTTTTTTCCCTTGTACCAGGAATTACATTCTAACACACCATAAATTTACTTATTTGTTGTGTTTCAGGTCTGTTTCTCCTGCTAGGATAGGAATCTCTTGAAGGCAGCCATCCATGTGGCTTGTTCATTCCTCTGTCTCCAACACTGAGTATGACACCAGGAACATTTAGTAACTGTTTAGTAAACGAACAGGTCCCGAAGGCCTGGCGGGAGCCCCCTGCTCATGCCAGAGGGGGTTAAACCCTGTGGCTCCTCCGCAGTTCTCACTCCTGGAGGGTCAGGGACAAGCTGATTGGCAGCTCACAGTCTCAGTCTGCAGTCACTACCAAGGAGACAGCTAGCAATTTTCATTACCTGGCTGGTAACTGAGCTTCAATTTTCATTAATTATTTTCAGCCCCTGGATCCAACCATGCATGAAGTTCAATTTGATGTTTTAAATTAATTTTTTTATTAAGATATAATTGGCATCTAACACTGTATTATTTTTAAGTGTACAACATAATGGTCATATCTATATCTATATACGTACATATCTCGCAAAATGACTGCCTGCTTCAATTTTCATTCATGTGTCTGGGGTGCCTTCCATCCCGCTCTCTGGTTTCCTGTTTCCTCCCCCAAAGCCAAGGGGTCTGGGCTCTGCAGCAAGGGTTGCTTACAGTCACACTCAGGCAGGGCCCCCCAGAGAGCAAGAAAATAGCTCCTGTCCCCAACATTGTCTGAAATGAGTGCTGAGCCAGACAACAGCTGAGTGTCCCAGGGGAGCCCAGGAGGGAGAGGGCTTTCCTGTTTTGGTTACATCCCAGCCCCCAGGGAGTGACTGAGCCAGCTGTGGGCTGGTGTGGATGGTTTGTGTGTGGGGTTGACTCTGTCCGTGGCCTGCCCAGCTGGTGTAGAGGGAGGCGGAAAGCACACAGGGCGTTTATTTATTTATTGATCTAGCCCACTGACCTGCTCCGTGGGGGCTGAGCTGACTCAAGTTGCACATATCCTGTGTACAGCAGAGTCAGCTGTTCCCCTTGCTCAAAGTGGCTGCAGGGTGGGGAGGAGGGTAATTCAACCCTGTCTATGCACAGACATTCTGTTTGGTTGGGTCCCAGGCTAAGTGCAGTTACTCCTAAAGGCCCTGGACTCCTGTGGCCAGCACCCTTGAGCTGAATCGCGTAAGGGGATTCTCTAGCACCCTGAGGCCTCTGTGGGCTCCACGGGACACTCAGTGATTCCTAACAAAGCTTAAGGTAGAACACCTAGTAGACTGGATGGTGGGAGCCCGATGGCACTGCTGCTTAGCACCTACCCCCCTTCCTCTGGGGCCACTACCAGCCTCTGTCCACATGGTTTGGGAGAGGCTGACTTTACCACCTCCTAGAGGGAGAGGAGGGCATGTGACCCTAGCCTGCCATCCCACTGGCCACCGTAATTGGTTCAGGGATGGCGTATGACCCATATGGGTCACCTAGAACCCATCCTGGGATGTGTGTTGAAGGAGAAGCACTTTCTCTGGTGGGTGTCCCTGAAGGTGCCTGGGACTACTCTCACCATGAGAGAATGGCTCCAGCGAGGGAGCGAGCAGGGCAGAGAGGTGGCAAGAGTGAGTCTCAGGCCCCCAGGATGCTTTCAAGCCCCTGGACCCAGCCCTGCCTGAAGCTAGCACTACCCTGGGCTTTTCAGTGATATAAGTCAACACACTTCTTTTTTGCTTAAGCCAGTTTGACATGGGGTTCTTTTTTTGGAACTCAAATGAGCCTGATGAAAGGAAAAGATCACTGGCTCAGCATTACAGAGGCCCCCGGACATTATTTTTTAACCTGGGAAACTTGAAGCCCCAGGCTCCCTCCTCCCGGACCCACATGCCAACACACACACGGCACAGACAAGATCGTGGTTGCTCACATGCAGCAGGCACGGGCTGCCCCGGAGCAGGGAGGCACATGCAGATGCAAGGACCCGGCTCCAAACCCCAAACGGGGAAGAAAACTCGAGGTAGACACCTTGACGCCAGTTGATGGCATACAAGTCCCCCAGGGTCCGGCGGCGGCCCACGGGCCGGGGCAACGACCAGTACCTCCACGAGACTGGGCGGGCAGCATGTGGAGGCGAAGGGCAGAAGGCAGAGGTGAGAAGAAAGCACTTCCAGTGTCTCCAGGCACAAGGGGCACCGAGCACGGGTGCCCATTAAGAGCAATTATTTCTGAGTCTATGCCAAACCTGTGTCTCGAAGGACCACGTCCCTGAGTATTAACCTTAAGCTTGAGTGAAGGGGCATCCAGGAGCCATAATTCTATCTCTGGCATGATTATAGAGAGGCACCAAGAGAAGCCCTTGTGCAGGGGGAAGAAAAATGTACAAATCCTTGGGGAAATGTGGTCCCTCTCCCGTCTGCTAGCTGTGTGGCCCCTGGCAGGTGTCTCTCCCTTTCTGAGCCTGCTTCTCATCTGTGAAATGGGGATAATAACCCGCCCCCTAGAGAGGCATGCCGTGCGGTCACTAACTGTCTAGGGGAGCTAGAGTTTCCATGCGGTCCACCACTGCCCCCAACTGGAGCTGACTCTGTAGTATTCCTGTGTCAGCCCAGTGCCGAGCGCTTCCTGGGCCCCACAAGCACAGGGGCGCTGTTGGCCATATAAAACTAATCGCAAAACCACAGATAATTCTTGTTGCTAACCTTTGAGGCCAGAAATATGCCGCTTCTTCTCACTCTCTGTTCTGATAAATACATACTCAAGCGGCTCTGTGCTTTCTCAAACTAGTCAACTAAAAGCCCCGAAGGTTTGACCGTAGGCAAGCCATAGCTATATGATAAAAACTGGTCCTCGTTATTTATTATTGTTTCAGGTTCTTTGTCAAGGGCTTTGCATGTGGGATCTCATTTAATTAAAAAAAAAAAAAAAAATCC